GTTGTAGAATTGTGCATAAAAGCATTGAAAAGATGCTATAAGGCATACTCGTTTTTCCTTTTTTTTTCCTTTGTAGGCCTATTGATTGGGGCTGCCTTTAACCCTTTGGTGTTTGCAGAGGTAATGCAGCTGTGGCAGTAACTGAGCACTGGCTAAAAAAATCTCTCAAAGGTCAAGGTTCACAAGGTGAGATGTGGTGTTTTGGGATGAATATAACAATAGCGTGGAGGTACATCCTGATTGCACACTTGGCACATTAGAAAGGAGACAATTGTTTAAGTGTTACTGAAGAAATGCTATTAAGGTCCTCCAGTTTTAATAGGATTAAAGCTATTATTTGTAAAGACTTACTGATATCTTGGCTAAATACAGTATTTTCATTGAAATATATCCAGGTGTAGGGTTTTTTTCACAGTTGTAGTGATATGGAATAGGCCTCTGAATGACAATCATGAATTGTGGAGCAGTTGTGGCAGGGAGCCGTTCTGTGCTGTATTAGAGATACACACGTGCAGAATTTGCTGTGTGTAATTTGCAGATTATTTACACGTTATTGTTTGACCACATCTCAATGACCCAATACTTGGTTTTTAATTAAAGACTTCAGTGTTAAACATGTACTTAATATTGCCTACAGAGAAAAAAGCCTGTGCAAAAGAAACAGTATGGATGGCTTTTCTTAAACCGTTGTAACCTGGGGAGGATTTTGCAGCAGCCAAGTGGAGAGATGTATTTTGGGGGGCTGGATGGAGCTCCAGTGCATTATCAGTGGTGTGAATTATAATATTGTGCATAGGAAACCGGATGGGCAGTGCAGCAGCTGCACAGGGGTGACTGCTTCTAACTCAAAGCAATGGATAATGGATAGAATTTTTAGATTTTTTTCTCAACTAGTAAATACAAAATGTGTACTTCGATTTGAGCTGGAGTTTTTATCTTACAGTGAAATCAGAAGGATTCAGAGAGAGGGAGAGGGGCAGAGAAAAGGAAGCAGTAATGAAACCTAGCAAAGGAAAGAACAAAGGCTGCTGGAGCTTGCACAGTGGATCACTAAACATTTTGCCTGAGGGATTCCTTTGCTAGAACTGTTACTTCCTATAACAGGAAATCAGCAACTCTAGAATCCTAACCAGTGTGATTTTCAAAAAAATCTTCCCAGTCCTGGCTGTGTTAGCTGGTTTGGTAATCTACAATCAAGATAATATGGAGGCAAAACATTGGAAATACTCTGTTGTGCTGTGAAATGAGGGTGCTTTCCTCTGTGCTCAGCAGAATAGACAGTCCTAAAAGCCTTGAGAGGTTGTGGATACTGGGTAAGTTGTGTGCTGGCTGCTGAGACAGGGTGACAATACAAGGGAACCTTTTTGTTTCTGACTGCAGTCGATTACGTAAGGCACTGAGCTATTAACTGTAGAAAAGTGAAAATAGCATGGTAACATTTGGCCTGAAATTCTGGGTTTGTGGGCTTTACTGCAGCTGTGATGTGTTGTTTTTCAGGTTTGATAGAGCAGTGAATAGCTTGTGGTGAAGCAAAATGCCTGACAGATCACTGTGCTGATTTCTGCTCCTGTTCTTCAGCATCGGGATGCAGAGGGTCTATATTTGACTATAGACATCTGTAGCAGAATGATGCTGGCAAACAGGAATTCCTGTTGCACGATAGGGATAGGATCTCTTCCTGATGAGGATGCATGTTCTTTTCCAGGTGTCAGCTAAAAATCTTGTATTACTCAAGAGTATCTTTTGGGATTTTTTTTTTCCTTCTGCCAGAATAGTAGGCAGCTTTAAAATTGTAAGTTCTTGGATTGTGACAAAATTCCTTGAATCTGTTCTGTTTGGGTTTTTGAATGCTATCTGTATTATGAATTTTTATTTTTAGCAAAGGAGATTTTGAATTTGCAGGCATTTTTGTTGGCTGTAAGATGAGAAAACTGAATAGATGGAGTCTGCAGTGTTCTTGGTGAGTTGTCTTTTTTCAGTCTAGTAATATCTGTAAAATGCTCTTCATCAGGAGATTTGGATTGTGCACGCAGGCCAGCTTTCCAGCAGCAAATGCTAATGCTGGAGGGCTGGCCTTCTGTATCAGCACCCAGGATCTCATTTTGCATTGGTCTCAGTTATTTGATCTCCAGAATGAGGGTAAGGATTTATCACATTCCAAGTCCCTTTGGAATGAATTGACTAACTGTTATTTTCCTAGCCATATGCCTATGTGTTAAAATACAAATATGCAGCAGAGTACCAGGAATATATGTTCAGAAAAACCCAAACTTGGCCCTAGTGTTCTCAGGCCTGCTTGCTGCCCTGACGGGCCCTGCCTGGCTGGGAGAGCTCTCTGGGAGGCTGTGGCTGCTCATTCTGTGCTTGGGCCATAATTGCCATCCACTTCAAAAAAAGTACCTTAAAGGAAAGAGGTGGGAAGCTTGTGCCATTTAGGATGTAATTCAAGTCTGCATTAGTTTGGGAATCTCAAAATTCTCTTAATTGTTGTTGTGTATCTGAATTACGTGTTATTGCCCCAGCCTATTTTACATATAGAAGTAAAAAATTAAGCCATAACTGTAATTAATTTCTAAGTAGACTGCAAAAAGAATGGCATGTAGATTTCCCTGCTTTCTGGGAATTCATCTCTATTTTAGGAGGGATTTGGGAAGACACAAACCCTGGCCTGAATCTCTTGATAAATACAGGTGGTTTTCATGTGTCCAGCTGTAGCTGGGGATGGCCTGTTCAGCCCCATGTTGTGCATAGAGAGATTGCTTGCTCATGTGTTGAAACATCCCTGTTCTTTTTGCCAGCCAAAGGCTGATTGTCCTGAACTTTGAACCAGCTGTATATGGTTCCCTTCAAGCTGTGCTAGCAGTGGTTCAGATTCTTGAAGATTCCCCTCCTCTCTCCCTTCTAGTTTTCTCATATCCTAAGAGAATCTGAGGTACCCAGTTCAAAAATTGATGTGTTGGACTACAAGATGAAGTTCCTAAGGAGTCATAAACTACAAATAACACTTTTTTGGCTGTCAGAATGGTGGATTAAGTCTTGTCCTCTTTGAGTCTTGAGCATAGAAACAAACTGCATTTTCCTCTTTTTTTGAAGGCAGGTAGATATGGTGTATCATATAGAAAAAGTAGGTTCTTGAGATTAACTGTGAAACACCTTTAGATGTGAAACATCTTTACAAAGATGTTTGCATTAGGGCTGGCATGATGTTACGGATGCTATGGATGCTAAATAAGACCTTTATCTTGAGAAATCGAAACTTTGTAGGGTAAGAATTACTTTGCATACTAAAGGAATTTCTGTGATTTTGTGGAAGTGGGTGTTTGTCTGGGTTTTACAACAGTAAGTGGGCCCTTTGCTAGTAAAAAGGAACCTGTGTTTAATGTATATGAGGACGAGAGCCATTGCTGGCTGTGGTTGAAGAGGCCTCTTGCACAATCCCACTTGCCTGCTGAGGATGTCAAACCAGGCGAGGCTGTGATTGGAGATGTGGTTCCCATTTCCTGAAGAAGGTTTTGTGGTTAGATTAACATATTGCTTTGTCTGCCTTTACAACGCTTGGCTCTCAGTGCAAGTCGGTCATAATTACTAATAACCAATGAACTGCTCATAATCTGTGTATTAGGATGAAGTTTGCCTAATGTTAGGATATATGTTACTGTAATTCTGATTGAATCCCTTATGTCTTCTCTACCTGTGAAATTTCTTGTCACAACAATACAGAAACCCAAACCCAAAAAAGTATGGTTTTATGCTGATTAGGCTGGTATTGCTCCCTGTGTAGGCGTTTTCTTCCAGAACGAGCTTGATGTTACTTAGACATCATTACTCTTGTTTGGAAGTGGGATAATTATTCCAGATTACTGGAATTTTGTTCTGGAGTAGTGTGTCTGCCTGGGAATCAATAGAAGTAACAGACTAATTTCTGTATGTGCCTATATCAGAACCAAGACACTGCCACGTGCCAGACCCTGAAAAGAGGTGTCTCAGTGTTCTCTCAGTGTTCTCATTTCACAAAACTGAAAGGAATGCTGGTGGTTTTGGAAGGGCATGCAGAAGAAAAGGTCTCAAAAGGTCTCTGTCCTAAAGGGTGCAGTCCACAAATGTATGTAGTACAGACAGCAGTAAAAACAAGAGTTTAGGGCAGGTAAAGGAATGTAGTCACAGAACATGAATACCACAGGTAGATGAAGATTAAATCTGGCAGTTTTCCCATTTCTTTTGATAACAAATGGACTTGCTGCTGAGGGAAGCTGGAAGTTGAGTAATTGTCTGAACAAAAGCAAGGAGTTAAATATCTAAGTGGGATTTGAAGGCAAAGGGTAGGAATTCAGTAAGGCAGAAAAGATGGTCTGATCCAGTTAAAGGGATTGTATAAAGTTGTTGGACTTTGTGATTTAGCTATTTGGAAGATCTGGATGAATAGGAAGGTGAGTGTCAAAGGGGAAAAGTTGGTTGGTTCTTCAAAGGTTAAGGATTAAATGAAAGAGTAAAAATTGAACATGTAAGACCATGCTTGTGATATAGAAATTATAAAAGCCTTCATGCATAGGGAATATTAATTGGAAAAGTATTGAGAAGGGAGGAGGATTATTTGTCATTTCTGGAAAGCTTGAGGCTGTTCTTGTACCTGATAGACAAAAATTAGGGATCTGAGCAGTTTGGAGATAGGACCTGGCTGGGAACTGCCAGGTTATTCTATTTCCTTGTCTTCATTAGGCTGTTGAACTTCCCCAGAACAATTCTGACTGCAGTGTTTACAAATGCTTGGCTTTACCCAGAAAAGTACCTTTTAATCTCAGCAACAGCTTCTAGGCATCTTGGTCTTTCTGTGGAGAATGCTAGGCCTAATCTGCAGGTGTCCTGAAGCCAGAGCTACAAGATAAATCTGACTTTGAAAGCAAGAAAAAATGTGTGTGTTTCTCTGGTGTGTCCCCCCGTCTCAACAGAGAACATGAAAGATTAGCTTTGTTTTTCCTCATATGGCTAGAGTACAGGTACAGATACAGGGGTTGAGGAAGAGTGATAACAACTCCATCCAGTAAAACAAAAAGTCATTTCTTCAGAAGCAGCTGTTTACTTCTAAGTCCTGTTTGTCCTGCTTGCTGCTTCGACTGTCAGAAGAGAGTTCTCACCGTGTGGTTCTTGTTTTAACATAATTCCCTGTCAGTGACCATGCACACGTGCTTTGGGAAAGCATGAACACACATAAAGCACTGCTGGTTCACCCCAGAACTTAACTTTCAGTAAGAATCTGACACACAGATACAGGGGTGGGTGTTGTGACTGAAGAGATTCAGGGAAACCGTATAGTAAGGGTTTATTCAGGATCTGTTATTTTAAGTTTTTAAGACTTATTATCTTCCCAGAAGTTCTCTCAACCACCATCAGAAAAGCAGAACCCAGAAGCATTTCACCTCACTGCTTTGTGGTTCCCTAGCTGTGTAATTCTGTTGGCCATATTCAGATTTTTTCCTTGTCACTTCTGTCATTGAATGATAAGTAAGCAAAGTAATGCTTGAATTTTTAAATAAACTGGTTTTCTGTATAACTTTTCTCAAGCATTCTCAGAGCACTTTTCAAAGAAATTCCAGTTCCTGGAAAATCATGATTTCCTAGAGAACCAGGAGCTTGCCTCATTGCCTCTTCTGAAGTATTTACAGGCATCATGTCGGCCCAGAGAAGGAACAGACTCACAACTTTTCTGGCAGCTAAGGTGTCAGTTGATTTTGATCTTGGATAAAGGGCAGAGTTTTATCCTTAAAGGAAAGGTTTGTGGAGGGTGAAAAACTGGGAGGAATAGGCCTGCAGAGTCCTGGCAGTTGTGGTGCAAACATAGTTTATATACTGAAGCTTAAGATGGATGCTCTAGAATGGTGTGGAAGAGATTAATAAAATGGCCAGGTCAGAATTTCTCTTCTTTGTGGATCGCAACTGACCATGTTTGTCTCCCTTTTTGTTTAACTTTGATTGCTTGAAAAGTTTGAAGAATGAGAGAAGTTCTTGATAAGGTCAGCAGTAGTTCTCAGTAAAGGACAGCTGTGTTTTCTCTGCTGGCCAGTTGTGATCTTAAACATACTTGGAGGAATTAAGTGTGTAAGCAAGCCTTAATTCATTGTTATAGGTGAATGTTAATTAAACTCCAGGATATGTAATTAGAGGAAGTTTCAGACTAGGGAGACTATCTAGCTCTTTTTGAGTGTATGCAACAACTGTAAAAAGACACCTATGGACAGATGTACAGCCAGAATGCAATTAGTATCCCAGATTATGAGAAACTGTGTCAAAGCTTTCTGTCATTTTACATGAATTTGATATGCTTTGGTATCTGCAATCTTTTCCATTTAACCCTCATAGAAACTTGCTTTGTGATTTTGATACTATGCATGCATCTGTTTTTGTATTAAGGACTTCTTAAGTTAGACAAAGGGCCCAAAACCATTAAGTTAACTGTGTAAACAAATTTCCAAACCTTCTATATTTATTTGAAGCTGTTTCATGAAATGTCAGTGTCTGTTTATCTGTGTCTGTTTATTTAAAATTTATCCTTGAAAAATTTTCCTGAGTTGCCTTCTCAGTGTCCACAATGACTTCCAAGGAGCCAGTGTTGTTGAATACCTAAGTCTTACAGATGCTTATTACTTTATACTTTATTATTTTCAAGAAGATTCCTCAGATAAATAGTGCAGCTCTTAGGGAAGGTCAAGATTTAAGAGAAATTACAAGTGTCTCATGTTGTTTTTATGCATATCCATGTATTTTGCAGTCTCAGTGAGGATAGGAGGGAGTGTAAGAGAGGGAACAGGAAGAAAGTCACTGCAATTTGGGCCCAGAATAAAATGGCCAGGCTACCATCTGTGGAGTTTATGAATTACTGTAGTTCTTGGTGTAATAATTTAACTGTACACTCGGACTGGAACACTGTTCTGTGATGTATAATCTCTGAAAACATTACTTGAGAAGTGAAATAACACTTCTTTACATGGCAGATGTGAACAAGACTGTTACACTGTGTAAGAATGTTTAAGACTGCTACTAGAGCTTAAAGTGATGACTTTCTGCTTATTTTACAGATTTGCTTCTAATCAAATACATGGCCATGGGGGATATGAAGACCCCAGATTTTGATGACCTTCTTGCAGCCTTTGACATACCAGACATGGTAGATCCCAAAGCAGCTATTGAATCTGGACATGATGACCACGAAAGCCACATAAAACAAAATGCTCACGCAGATGAAGACTCCCATGTCCCATCATCATCTGATGTTGGGGTGAGCGTCATTGTGAAAAATGTGCGTACTATTGATTCTTCCGAAGGTCTGGACAAGGATGGCCACCATTCCACAGGCAATAGTTTGCACAATGGCTTCCTAACATCAGCAGCTCTTGAGAGTTACAGTAAAGATGAAGGGAAATCACTTAAAGATGATGGGTCAGCTTCTGAGACTACACTGAAGGATTCAGCTTTCAACCAGTTCAGCCCAATATCAAGTGCAGAAGAATTTGATGATGATGAGAGAATTGAGGTGGATGACCCCCCGGATAAAGAGGAGATGCGTGCAAATTTCAGAGCAAATGTCTTGGCAGGATCTCTATCTCAGCAGGAATATGACAAACTAAAGGCACTTGGAGGGGAGAATTTAATTAAATCTGGAATCACTGTTTCAAGTAGTATAGATAAAAATAAAACTGCTAAACGAGAGACAGAGACAAACTCCATGAATTTAGGTGTCTATGAGCCTTTTAAAACTAGAAAAACAGAGGACAAGTTACTAAAAGACAATTCTGAGAAGCTTCTTGAAAACAGGGTACTTGATGGAAAACTGAGTACTGAAAAATGTGACACAAATCTTTCCAGCATTTCCCAGTCCAAAGCAAAGTCATCAGCAAAGCTTTCGTCCTGTATTGCTGCAATTGCAGCACTGAGTGCTAAAAAGGCAGCTACAGATAGCAGTAAAGATTTACAGTCTAATTCAGGAGAGTCTTCTCCATTACCAAAAGACATGAGTGAAAGTCCCCGGGCTATTGAAAAATCTCCCGAGTCTCAGAGTCTCATTGATGGTGCTAAGAAGCCGTCTGTCAAACCGCCCGATAGTCCCAGAAGCGTCTCAAGCGAGAACAGTAGCAAAGGGTCTCCGTCTTCTCCTGCAGGGTCAACACCAGCAATTCCTAAGGTTCGCATAAAAACCATCAAGACTTCTTCTGGGGAGATCAAGAGAACTGTTACTAGAGTGTTGCCAGAAGTTGATTTGGACTCTGGTAAAAAGCCAGAGCAGAGTGCTTCCATGGTAACGTCCATGACATCTCTCCTGTCCTCACCAACTTCTGCTGCTGTTCTCTCCTCTCCTCCCAGAGCTCCTCTGCAGTCCTCAGTTGTCACCAATGCAGTTGGATCTGCAGAACTTGCCCCCAAACAGGTCACTATCAAGCCCGTGGCAACTGCCTTCCTGCCCGTTTCAGCAGTGAAAACAGCAGGTTCCCAAGTGATCAATCTGAAGCTGGCTAACAACACCACAGTGAAAGCCACCGTCATCTCTGCTGCATCCGTGCAGAGCGCCAGCAGCGCCATTATCAAAGCTGCCAACGCCATCCAGCAGCAGACGGTCGTGGTGCCAGCATCGAGCCTTGCCAGTGCCAAACTTGTGCCAAAGACAGTCCATCTTGCCAACCTTAACCTTTTGCCTCAGGGTGCTCAAACCACCTCTGAACTGCGCCAAGTGCTAACAAAACCCCAGCAGCAAATCAAGCAGGCAATAATTTCTGCAGCTGCCTCCCAGCCTTCGAAAAAAGTGTCTCGAGTGCAGGTGGTGTCCTCTCTACAGAGCTCTGTAGTTGAAGCATTCAATAAGGTGCTGAGCAGTGTCAATCCCGTACCAGTTTACATCCCAAACCTTAGCCCCCCTGCCAATGCCGGAATCACGCTACCAACACGAGGTTACAAGTGTTTGGAGTGTGGCGACTCCTTTGCTCTTGAGAAGAGCCTGACCCAGCATTATGACAGGAGGAGTGTGCGAATTGAAGTGACTTGTAATCATTGTACAAAGAATTTAGTTTTCTACAATAAATGTAGTCTCCTGTCCCACGCTCGTGGGCACAAGGAGAAAGGCGTCGTGATGCAGTGTTCCCACCTGATCCTAAAACCAGTCCCAGCAGATCAAATGATAGCATCTCCTTCCAGCAGTACTGCTGCGGCCGTGCTCCAGAGCCCAGGGGGAGCTGGCACGCACTCCGTAACAAAGATCCAGACTGGCTTAACTGGGACAGTGATCTCGGCCCCTGCGAGCTCTCCTGTCATTCCAGCTATGCCGCTAGATGAAGATCCATCGAGACTCTGTAGACATAGTCTAAAGTGTTTGGAGTGCAATGAAGTTTTCCAAGATGAGACATCTCTTGCAACTCATTTCCAGCAGGCCGCAGACACAAGTGGACAAGTAGAGTATCCTATGTTTACATTCCAATGTTTCATCTATAAGCCTAGGAGACTTTGGATATGTTTTTGCTTTCATTTAGCTGTTAATTATCTGAACCTCTGTGATTAAAATGATAAACGAAAACCACAGAAAGTCTTGCAAGCACTTACATAGTAAATATCAACACTTTTTAAGTAAGACTTTTTCTTAGAATCTTTTTAGGCCCTGAAGTCTGCAATTGATGCCGTGTATTTTTGCTAAAAGTTAGCATTAGCTTTCTTACAGCTGAACATTATAATACAGAAAATAATAATGGGTTTTACTAATAGTATGTTAATGCTTTCTGTGCTTTGGAATTTGACTAGCCTGTGGAATCCACTTAATTGGCACCCTCATTAACAGCCCATCTATTCAACCTGAATGATAACTTTAAGTGATTCATTCTTGATTGGTCTTCAGGTTTTAGAGTTTTCACCAAGTGCCCTAAGTGAGCGAGGCATTCCCTTTACATGCAGGGAGGGATTCAAGCAGTGACAAATGGCACACTGACTACTGACAGGAATGCCTGCTGTTTGCCTCAGCTCTTCCTTAGAAAGTGCAAAATGCTGTTCTCACTTGCACATCTTCCTTTCTGTGTGACCATTGGTTTAGCTGGTTGGGTTTCTTTTCCTCTTAAAAATGCTAATGAGTTCAGCTTAAAAACCATTTGAAAATTCTTTATTAATGTATGTGGCCTGACCTGAAAGAAATACGTCATTCAATAAAACTTAATATTAATCAGTGTGCGATGTATTTTATAATCCTAGCAGAGTGAAGGTGGTTAATTAAATGATATGGTTGGATCTCTGTTGGGGTGTGCCAATTAAAAGGGATTCTGGTGTGTTTCAAAGCATTCAGGTGAGCTTGGTGCTCCAGCTTTTTGCTGCGGGGGAAGCTGAAAACATGCAAGCATGCTCAAGACAGGAATGCCCCAGGAGTCTTCCTGGGAATCACACAACAGTGGACAGGCTAAAGATTTTGAAATCCTGCAGTTAGGAAAAAATGCCCTAGTCCTAGGAGCACAGGCAAGTTCCTGTCAGGATCTGTTCACTACATGCAGGGCCTGTTCTGTACCACGAAGCAGCTCCACTGCACCTACCACTACAGGTAGTAATGTAAAGAGATTTGCACGTGGAAATAAGTTTGATTATGTGGCTCTGCCTTAGGTCCTCCCTTTAACTGGCTAGCAGAGTTAGATTGAAACAGCCTGGATTCCAAGTGGAATGCCATGCAAATGAGTGTCTCTGTGTAAGATAGTACAAGTGTGCCTACCTAAGGGAGTTTCCTTCAGCAAACGTGTCCCTCCGTAGATGTTGCTGCAGTTCTGAACAGGATCTAGAGGCTGACCATGAATATATTCTGCACCAGCTTGAGCGACTTAATACTTAGGGATTTTAGCTAACTGATTTGCTGGTGCTTATTGGTTGTGGATGGATTCTTTCCTCTAAGAAGCCCAGTAGGTAACATTCCATCTAAGATCCAGTAGTCCTTGCAAAAACCTGTTGGTTCTGATACTGGAGAATCGAGCAAGTAGGAAGGTGTCAAGACAAAGCAGTTGGATGTGAGACACAGAAGAGGTTGGGAGGATGAGGCTAAAATAGAAATGGAAAAGAAAGAGAACAAAGATCAAGTGGTGTTCTCACTTTCAGTGTGTGAGGATTTTTGTCTTTATGGCCAAGTAAACTAAACCTTTTGCCCTTCCCTTTCTCCCTCTGGTGCTTTTTCCCTGTTGCTGCTGAGTTTGCTCTCCATACGTGTCCCTTAGGTACTGTTTATCCTGGTAATTTACTAAAGGAAAACAATTGCGATGTTCATGGATGTCAAAATGCAGCTGCAGGGAGGTGTGGAGAGAGCAGTGTGAGTTCCCAGGTACTGCTATTCAAGGAGAGAAGCCCCTGGAGCTGCAGGAGCAGCCGGCATTGCCTGCTGCCTGGCAGGGTGTTTGTGTCTCCTCATGGAAACTTGCTCTGCTTAAGAGCTGCAGGTTCAAAAAAATGGTGCAAAGCACTAGAGGAAAAGAAGCTATTTTCGTGTTCTTCCACTTGAAAAGAACACTTAATAAATGTAGTTTTAAATCTTCTTTGTTGAAATAGCCTTTTAAATATTAATTAAACATTTTTCATAGTCCTTTTCATATGTCAAGCAGCTGCTGTTTTTTATGTTCTGTTTGGTTGAATCCTGTAGGGGTAGTGTTTCCTGGAGAAAGATTCTGTATAGGCATTGATTACTAAGTATGTTGCTACTCTTTCATTAGATGTTACCTCTTGAGAAGCTTGGATTGACTTGTTTTCCTTCTCAGTGCTTGGCACTGTCTTTTCGCTGTAAAAGTACCATTATTGTGGGGGGAAGAAGACAGGGGAGTTAGATGAGATTGGTATTTTTTCTTTGAAAGGAAGGAAGAAAGAATAAAAATGAAGACCTAGATTTTGCAAACAAGTAATAGGAAAAAAAGGTTATTTGCAGCTTACTATCCTTTTTAATGTCCCATCTAATTGCTCCTGAAATGGAAAATGTACAGTTTTGTGCTTCCAATGAGTAAGTAGCTGCTCTTATACTCCTGTCACGAAGGTAGAATGTCTTGTTTAAAATAAGCAATGGTAGAACAATCTTAGCTAAGAAAACACATTCCCTATAAAGTTGTTACCTTTCTGTAATGTTTTATTGCCATTAATATTCCTGTTAAGGGAATATTAATCTAAAGTAATATTCCTGATAAAGGAGTATTAACCCTGACTCACTGGCAGGTTTTCTGGCTGAACGAAACCCTCATCTACTTGCTGGGGGGAAAAGGTAGCAAATCTAGGCTAATGAATGTTACTATTTCTCTTAGTTATAGATAGGAGTATATAGCTCCCATGGAAACTACATCATTTCCCTTCATACTCAGCGTATGTGTGTATCTTTATTTTCCAGCTCCACCATTTTTCCTTCTAACCCTTTTTTTTTTCTGAAACTTTGACTTTAAATGCAGGCAGGTGATGATTTTCACAAACTGTGTTTTATTTTGGTGTGGGTTGGAATGAGAGAACTGGAAGTTAATGCCACCTTAAGCCCAAAATAAAATGGTAAGCAAATGTGCTGAATGTCAGAATTTCACAGTAGATGCTTCTTGTTCTACTGTAATCAGTTACAATTAAACATTTTCTGTACTCATTGAAGTAGCAGAGCAGGGGCCTTAACTGAGAGCATTATTGGCATGTTGGGTCAGCCAACGAGTCTGGCAGCTTGCTGCAAAATCAGGAAGATGACTGAGCTGGGGCTGGAATGTCGTGTGGCTCTTCTGTGGCATCACACCCCGGTTTCCTTCAGAAGTCCTGCAAGCCAAAGGCTTTGGAAGGACTCTGAAACCTCCAAATGTTTCTGTTACTGGAATAAGTAGCTCTGGTTTGCTGTTTTCTTATGTAATCAAATAATGCTCCAGATTCTCTAGTATTGTATTACAGCTTGTTAATACAGGAACAGCCAGAGAGGTTTGGGGAATGGTACTGAGCCCAGAAATGTGGCACTTACGGCTGGTCAGAGGGCTTTTCCTTTAGCTGAACTTAAGACAAAGCTAGCACCCCAAAACAGTTCTGGTCAGCCTAAGGCTGTGAGTCCCCCACTTCTGGCCACTGCTTAGTCAATTAAGGCCAAGTATTTGGCATTTCAAAGTGAATATTTCAGTGTGTCTCAATACAGCCTTCCTGTGTTCCAAAGGCTCTGAGCAGGTGCCAGTTTGAAATCCCTGTAGATAGCTGAACTCAGGCAGAGCCTGGCAGGAGAGCAGTACATGTGCCCATGCTTAGCACTACTGTAGTGGGCTGGCAGGAGGGCCAGTGGAACCTGCATTGCAGTGATGGCAGGGTTTTTTTTGCTTAACACGCTGTGTATTTAATTGTTTGCATTTTGCCATCTTGCTGTGTCAGGGCATGGGAGAGCTCTGTTTGTACAGACTGTGTTCAAACACACCAGGCCACAGTGCTCCCAGAGCGTTTATTTCAGGATTTTTTCATGCATATATTAGTAAATAATTTATAATGTAGCTCTGGAGTTTGGTTGTTTTTGGTTGTTTTTGTCAATATTCTTGCAGAGTGTACACATCACTACATATGTCAGACTCTTAGAGAGAACATCCCTAAAAATATGCAAATACATGTTCAAAAATATACTGATGTCATGAAGGAGTCTTGGGTTTGATTTTAAATCTTTGCAAGTCACTGGTGAGTTTCACAAGTCTCAAGCCATAAGAGACAATAGTAATTATTTGATTCTGGAGTTGTACGTAGGCCCCTTGCACTATTAAGATAATGTGGGAAGGCACCTGAGTGGTATATCTGTAAACCATGTGTATCTCCCCTGGTCACTGGTATATGAAGGAGCTTTGTGGCCCAGAATGCCAGTCAGTCTGGCTACCAGCACCTGCCAGCTCTGTCAGCAGGGCTTGTGTTTGTACTTGCCTGCTGCTTTGGGTCCCATCCCAGTTACAGCATTTAACCTTTATTTGCTATATTGCAGTGTTTGACACAAGACATTATGTAGAGCTGAACCAAACCTTTTGTCTCATCTATTCTGGTTTATCATTTAGAAGACATGCAATATCTGCCAGATGCTGCTTCCTAACCAGTGCAGTTTTGCATCACACCAGAGAATTCATCAGCATAAATCTCCATACACGTGTCCTGAATGTGGAGCAATCTGCAGATCTGTCCACTTCCAGACCCACGTCACTAAGAACTGCCTGCATTATACCCGAAGAGTTGGGTTTCGGTCAGTATAATGATTCCTTTTGTTGTCAATTTATGTATAATTTATGGTTTTAAAAGTGATTTTCCATTTGCATAAGCATTGTTTGGACAATACCAGCTTCATGGGTTTAAGATTGTCATGGCAACAGTACTGTTAGTACTAAAATTTTGGAATAAATACATTAGGATTCTGTTTTGTTTTGGGCATCCACTTTTGTATATGAATAAATCAGAATATTAGCTAGTGTCACACAGATTCAGGACTTCACGGTTTATAAAGTCTAGAGAATTCAGATGCATTGTCTTAATTTCAGGTTTTTAAAAAACTTCTTGAGTTTTTTCGAAACACTGAATTTTAGCTTGTTCTCTCTGGTAGAACAGGAATTTTCAGTACGTCCAGAATGTATGGTTGAGATGTTGATGGGCATACTGCACCTGTCTGGTTGTTCTCTTTTCTGTGGCAAGTCAAGATTCTTTGGCTTTACATCACTTGGAAATTGCCTTTCTCAAACAGCCTTGTCTTTTGGTTCTCTTTTGTTACTCTTCAGTTTCCCTTTGACTTTTACATTTCCCTGTAATGGCAGCTCACTGTGAAAATGGGGAGCAGAAGCATTTCATAGAAATGTTTAGTTTTGAAAGACTTGAAAACATGTTTTCTGTTAGAATTTTCCTGGCACTGAATGGCAGGCAGCACAGCAAGAGATCAGAAGAGCCATCCGTATCCAGAGCTTTGCTTAGCACTCCAAAACCACATCCACTTCACCCTGTCTGCCTGGAAAAAGGCCATTCTAAATCTTAGAGCAGGTAGCTCCTTCCACCCTTAAGGTGTCACAGTTCATTTTCCAGGATGGCTGTGCAATCTTCCTCTGAGGCAAGAAAGCATTTTTACTGCATCAAGCCTCTATTTCCAGCTTGAATCCATGGCCTGACACAACTCCAAGCCCTTTTCATTTCTTTGGGATCTTTTACCTTTTTCTCTCAAGCAGTAATCTGTCTCGTCTTGCTTTTCCTCCGTCTGCTTCCTGCACTCTACTGCTCTTCCCTCTAATGTATGTCTCTTGGATTTGTACATGGAATCGCCTCTAGCGCCTCCTGGCCTGCCCCAGTACCACCAACAGAATTCTCTTCACTGGGAGTCTAAGTTAATAAACTTTTCAAGATGTCTTACAAACATCTCATGTCACACCAAGTCAGAATTTCTTGATCTGGTGAGACTAAAGCAAAGTTACCCGGGCAAGCAAAAGCAGCCTCTGGGAATGTTCCTCTCTCCCTCCTTAGACTCCTCAGCCTCTCCTTAGAACTGAGATGCTCTTGCCTAAGGAGCAGCATATCCTGTCCTGCCTTTCCAAAGGGCCTCTGCCAAGAAGTTCCCTTTGAGTCCAGTGATTGATGCTAGTTGTCTGCACTGAATCAGCTGAAAACCTGAGCCTGAAGTTTCACTGCACCCTGTCCAAGGTGAAAGCAGAAGCTGTCAGAGCAGGCCCCGAGAGGAAGGCTTGGTCCTTGTGTGTAACATACAGTGGTGGATGCTGAGGATGAGTTGTTATGTGGCATCACTAAAGTCAAGCCGTGGCATGGGGAGGTGAAAATGCCACCCAGCCCTCCGGAGGGACATCTCATGGGTAGATGTGTTACTGAGTGCATCATGCTGTATACTGCTGTGAAGAAGTGCTCAGCTCTGTGTGAGCACAGAAGGTCTTAACAAAGCCAAAAAAGATCAGAATTATCTGCTTTAGAGAATGCATTGGTAAGCAGAGATTAGATGGGTATAAATTAAATGCCTAGAGAAAGAAAGGATGACATTTCATAAAATTCAAGGGTGATAAATTTTAAAAGTAAAATGAGATCCTTGAACTGTAGAACTGTATTTCCTGCTTTATTGCTATCATCAGGGCACTAACCATTTATATGACAACAATCATACTGCCATGATAGATGCTAAAATTAAAATTCTCGAAGGGTGGAGGCCTTCTCACAGCAAAAAAGTCTCACAGCAAAATACTGACTAATAAGAAATTGTCTCATTTGACAGATAATTGCTGACTGCACTGTGTTCTTGGACTGATTTGGGAGCATTTGGTACTGGACATGTAGGGCATTAAAGGGGACTGCTGTGTATCAAAATTCTTATGTTCTAATATTAATTCAATTTTTTAATCGTTTCATTTTAGAATAGATGCAGAAAGGTCACAAATTTTCGACACAGCAGAAGTATGTTTTTGAAAAATATTTTCCGAATTCCAATATGATACATTGATCTGATAGTAAGGATTTGGTTTAGTTTTCCTGAGTTTTAATCCAAGTGCTGATTTGATTACATGTACAGAAAATCATTACCAGTATATCTTCATTAAATCTGAACAAGGGAAATGGTGAAAATATTTTCCTTACTGGTTTTCCATTTGGTGGTGGTTTCTAAATTGCTGCGGTGTACTTTAAACAATACCCTGCATGTGATAAAAATGTATTCTGGAAAATCTCTTTTCCAAATTTGCAGAAGATTTAAGCATTTTTTCTGCAATCAATAGAGTATTTTTCTGTCGACTCTTCTGCCTGTTTTATTGTAATAACATAAAAACATATTCTGCCCTTACATCTCTTAGATTTTCAAATGAAAATGTGTGAAATTTCTTTCCCCTTACTTTGTGATCCACAAATCACTGGTTATGTTGATTCTTACGGGATTGTTTAGGTTGACAGAGTAATGCCGTTTTACCCAGTGTTATCCATGTGTGTTTCTCTCTTCCCTTTGCTTGAAGATCCATGTTGATTATGTCCAGCGCTGCTGGGGGCAGGGCTGCACTGACTCTCCTCCGCTCTCTCCGCAGCTGCGTGCACTGCAATGTTGTGTACTCTGACGTGGCGGCACTCAAGTCTCATATTCAAGGTTGTCACTGTGAAGTCTTTTACAAGTGTCCTATCTGTCCCATGGCATTTAAATCTGCTCCCAGCACACACTCCCATGCCTACACACAACACCCGGGTATCAAGATAGGCGAACCAAAGTAAGCAAAATTCATCTTCTACTGCATTTGCCTGCATTTGAATGACCTGTGAAATTGCATTCTGTCCTGTGCTTGCAGTTGTAAAAGTCACCTCTGACAGCCACCAGTTTGTCAGCCTGCTGTTATGTGGGATTTGTGTGGTGCTTTCGTGACTTTTCAGTTGGCAGTTCATTGGGCAAAGGTGACATTTCTCTGAATGCACTAGCAGATCTTTAAGTATTGCATGCTACAAGAGAGTGATTGCAAAATGTAATTACACGAATATTTTGACAGGTGGCCAGAGTGTTGCTCGTTCTGATGTTTTAATGTGCTTAGCTCATCGGCGTTTTAACTGTGAATTAAAGTAATGTGATTCCAAGAAGAGCTGCTAAGACTCATCAGTGCTTATGTGGTGATTTTCATAATGTGGTGGAAAGTTGAGAAAAAGCGATTTTATCTGCTTGTACAAGCTTTCTTCCAGTAGGTAATCTCTTTCTGGCTTAAAGCAGAAGCGGTTTTGTTCTGTAGCTAGGAAAGTTGTCCATAAAGGTGCTAGTTTGCAGGAAGTGGTGACACAGGGCACAGGTAGGACTCCAGGGTCTTTTGTTAAAGCTGCTGGACACTGGCAGGCTCTGCTGAAGGCACAGGTGCTGCTGTGTGTGCAAACTCCTCCAGCCCTCGGGTGTGAGCCTCTCTCTGAGCACCCCTTCTCCTCCATCTGCCTCTTCCTCACTGCTACGAGTGCCCTGTTCAGAGCACAGAGGGACTGGACTCTGTTTTCTCTGGGGTGTGCACAGAGCACCAGCGTGGTAACAACTTGCAGGCTCCAGAACATAGAAGGTGCCATGTGATGTAATAACCAGTGTTCCTAAGAGTTCCCTTTCTCACTCTTTCTTCTAAGGTGAAGTGATTTTTTTCTTTGCTTACACCTCCATCAAAGCAAAATGGCAACCAACTTGCCATGTTGATACCAAATGAAGGCATTTCTGCCTAGTGGGAAATGATACATTGTCTAAATTCAGGATGCCATCATCAGTCAGAGGCTGTGAGATAGTAGCATTTAAAACTTTTTTCAGGTTCCCATAGTTCTTAGAGAAACATAAAAGATTAAGATCACTGTTTGTGTAAGATGCTACACATATTAAAAATGAAATGTGCTTGGATCTGCCAAATTTTTTCTGATCAGGCTCATGAATTAAGTATTTTGCATTAGTTTTCTTTCAATATAGACAGAAATAATTGTATTCCTTTACAAATTTACTTTCATTATTAAAAAATGAAATTAAATTTTATTATGTACTACTGTAAGTCACAGAATCCATAGTTGAGCACTCCTCTTAAGAAGTGGTGTTCCCTTTAAATTTGCCAGTTTTAATCATGATGCTGCCTTAAATGCATGATTTTTCCAGCCCTTGCAGAGTTCAGAGTTCTTGGCTTGGCCAGTTCAGAAGAGAGCTGACAGGTTGTATTTGAGGCTAAATGCTAAAATGAAAATTCTCAGTACATTCACGTTTGGGCTATCTGTGCTGCACCATGGAGCACCCAAGCTGTGTGACTGGCAGCCAGTGCAAGGCTGCCAGCCTCACTCCTGACCCCAGGTGTGTGGCACATCCAAGGACACTGGCCATGGCTTCAGCAGTGCCAGGACCCTTGGCCCCATGGCTTCTGAGGGACTCTGTTGTAGGTCACACTCCTCTGTTTACAGGAATTGGGCTCCTGGGGAATCTGCCTGCCTGCCTCTGGCATTTATTTGGAACTGTGTGATTTACAATTACATTACAAACAGTTGCTGCAGAACACATGCACTAAACTATTTAGTGTATGAAAAATGACTTTTATATTCAGGGAATGTCAGTGGGATGAAATAAGATTATTTTAATGTAGGGAAATGGATGGCTGTCTTGTCTTTCAACTCTGGGAAGCTCTATCCTGTAACATACTCTAAGCTTTGGTTTCCCAGAAGACCACAGAGGTGATCCTCTTTTTTTCAGTGAACAGTGCCTAAGAATGTCACTAAGATATTTTTCATGGCTGATCTCTTTTTGAATTCTTGTTTATCAAGCCAAATTATGGATATTTACATACAATTGGTAAAAAGTGTATTATTCTACAAGTTCCTTTTTTTAGAGAAAAAAATTCGGGAAGGAGGAATAATACTATTCTCTGGTGCAGAAGCTTTCCAAATGCTAAATGTGTTTTATGAGACTGAACGTATTTTCCTATGAGATAACACCTGTATTTATTCCAAGATAATTTTTTTTTTTTGGTAGCAGATTCACTGCAGTGAAGGTTCACCACAGAAAGTGGGACAATAGTACACTGAGCATCAGAGGATGCTGTGTAAATACTGCATTTATCTTAGCATATGTGAGAAACTGGGACCACTTGATATTACAAAAACAAAGTTTTTCCCAGTTAATATGAAGAAGTGTATTGTTTTTCATTTGGAATTACAGGACAGCTTGGACATGGAAGCAATGCCCATGTTCTTGCCATCTCAAAACACAGTGCAGAGTGATCCCTAGAGCTCTGGAACAATGTGCTATCTGTGATAATTACTTAGAGGAATATAGAAAGGACTGGGAACATTTATCTGGCTAATGAGAAGATTTAGCACTTCAGTAGGCAGGGGGTGTGAGGGTTGGTTTTTGTTTTTTGGTGGAAGTTACTCTTACAGATGGGAAGCACCTGTTGCTGTACCGAGCAGCTGTGGTTGGGTTTCTTTTATTTTAGCTAAACTTTCTCTGCAGCACTACAGATTAGATGTCCTGGATTTCTCTCTCATCTGATGATCTGTGGTTAGAAAACTGCTGTAAGAACAGGAGGCTGAGGGACCTAAGTTTAAAAGTCACACGTGCTCCAAGAGAGGAAGCACTTGGTGGTATCTCTACATTTCTATGACAGATTCATCAAGGCTTGGAATGGCAGATCAGGGAAATCCTGTCCTGTGCTGTTGGAGCTTCAGGGCATGATAGAGTCTAGGTTTGGCATTCAGGAGGATCAAAGCCACGAACATTGCCAAAAATGTATTTATCTTGAAGTATGTTACTAACTACAATTGAACGAATGACTCCCATAAAACATCCTGTGTTTGTAACCCGGAGCCAGGATATTATCCTTTAGCTACAATGTGAGTTCAGAAACTGAAGGTGTTGAACTGTCAGAGTATCTGAGCAGATGTTGTTGTTGTATATGTAACTGGCACATGCTGTTGTTTTCTGGCTTCTTGTTTGCACTTTTTCAATTATTTTTCTATTTTTCTGTTCCTTCTATTGTTCCCATATTTTGAAATTGGAGGATGTTTCGAATTAGTTTAACTTTTTTTTCAAGCAGTGTGAAATGATTGCTTAAACATGTCAGATCTTATCTGTGATGAGAAAAAAGTTCACATCATGATTCTTGCAAATAGGTCATCAACATGACTGACATTGTTTATTGTACTTCTGTTTTTAGAATAATATATAAATGCTCTATGTGTGACACTGTGTTTACTCTACAACCTTTGCTCTATCGCCACTTTGATCAGCACATTGAAAATCAGAAGGTGTCTGTTTTCAAGTGTCCAGACTGTTCTCTTCTATATGCACAGAAGCAGCTTATGATGGATCATATCAAGGTGTGTAGGCATCTTCTCGTTTCCTTCATGATACCATTTGTCATGCAATATATGCTGTGAGAACATACTGTGAAAAGGCACAGAATAACAAGACTGTTGAGAAAGATGTTAATAATTCTGAAGGGATAATCTGTGAATATTGTTCTCAAATGTTAAAATGGTATATTTTGTCTGGTCTTCAGCATATCTGTGATGACTTCATTCTTCTGTAAGAATGTTGATTTTGTTATACTGGGAATGTCTCAGCAAGTCCAATACTAACAAATACTGAGTTTTATTTACAGTATTCTAAGTATTATTCCAGCTGTTAGGAGCTGAGAATGCTGAGTGCATCACAACATCTTTGATGTTCAGAATTCATCAGAATTCACCAGGAAGCAGTCTGTTGCTAGATGTAGGGGTTACCTGTGTGTATTCACATATGAACTTGAACACATGTGCTTTGAAAAAACCTCCAAGTGGATTTCCTCACAAACACTGTCAACAGCTAACGATTCACTGTGATCCTTGTAAGCCCTGGTTTGAAGGATCAGCAGTCCCCTGGCTATCATTTGGTAGCTGTGTGTTTGACACAGACTGTTAGCTCATGTCATACAGACCAAGCTGAGGTTTTTATGCCTTATTAACCCCTGGTGCCTGAACACAGCCCTGCAGTCCAGAATGGTACTGTGCAGCTCGCTGCACTTCTCTGGCAGTGACACCATTCCTGAGTACTATTTCTCTACAGCAGAGTAGAAAACCAGACATCTTTTTTGGCTGCTAAAACCATAATTCTGCATTTTAGTCCCAAATATGGCAGTTGTAACCACAGAATTCTCCAAAGTTGTGTTGAAAATAAGATCACAAGTCTTAAAAAACAGGTGGTCTTAAAGCCAGTCTTCAGCTTGAGGAGGAGATGAGGAAAGGGCTGAGCCAAGATGTTCAGAAATACAAGGGCTGGATATTTTCTTTGTTTCTGAACTAGTAGCACTAGTTCTTGCATGTTTATTGCAAGGTATCTTAGATGCTTCTCTCATGCAGCAATGCAAGACTCTGTTTTCTGTTTCCTTTGATCTACTCAGATGATGGGGAGTTTTTTAACTAAATAGGCAAATTCTGTGTATTGTTTCTGTAATTAGTTTTTCCTGACTCAGATATTACTGGAAAATTATTGTTATATCAGTACCTAAGTACTTCTGTAAGACCTGAAGACAAGGCTTTCAGGAGCTCGATCTGACTGCAGTTAGGGCCAGAAGCTGTCTCTACAGAAATCGAGGTGCTCAGCATCTCACATTTTGAAGATCTGCTCCATTACTTGGGCACTACTTATCTTCTTTGACTTTAGTGTTCCCTGCCAGTATATGAACTTTCAACCAGTGGGGTTTTAGCATGATTCACTGTTAATGATTCAGACATTTTTGAGACTAAAATTAGAGGATTAGAGAATACATGTGTAGTAGCAGTATTGCTGGTTTTGCATTTAGCACATGTGTATAGCAGTAGGGACTGGAGCAAAGCAGTGAAAATTGGAATTCAGTTAAGGGGGATTGAAAAAAACAGTAACAGGTTACAGATAAAAGCAGAAAATGATTTGGGGAGACAATAAAAGCACAAAAGGACTCAGGGAGAGTACGAGTGCCAGACAGAGGCAGAGCTCAGCTGCACAAAAAGTAATGGTTTGGTATGGCTAGACACAAACCATCAAGGCAGAGACAGGCCTGGGTGAAAGTAGGACAGAAAGGGACAGAAGGAAGCTCAGGAGGAGATTATTTAAAGCTACAGAAAATAACCCAGAATAATTCCTACAGATGTCAGTATTTCTTGATGGCAAAATGTATGTCTTATTTTCCTGTAATGACTTGCTACAGGAAAATTTCCAGCAGCCAGTGAGAGCTGATGGTGAAGGACTGGCCTGGGCTGGGCTGGGCTGGGCTGGAGGTGTAATGTTCCCTGTTTGGTCAGCACTGGGGCTCCATTCTATGCTCTAAGGCTCTTGGTGTAGTTCCAAATAAGAAATGAAATTTCAAGTATTGTATTTAAAAGACATTTGAAAATTGGAGCGCTAACATTTTACATGCTGACAGGTTAGGCTGGAATGGAATCTCCAGGTCAGCTTCAGTTGCCTAAGGGTACAGAAACCTCGTTTCCTCCTCCCCTGTGCAGTGGGATGCTAAAGCCAGCCTCCTTTACTACACACCTGCACTTTGCTCTTAGTTGTTGGTCACTTTTTATTAACAGTTTAGAGGAGTTAATGACTGGCTTTTCTGCTATTTAAAAGCTGTTATATCAAAGATCATATTTTACTGATGAGGTTGATATTTGCTCTAGAGCCAGTGGGTAGTCCCAAGAGCCAAGGTATTTACAAAAGAACTTGTTGCTGGAGTATCACATTGATACTCCTACATTCCCAGAATCAAGAATGGATTGAATGGGTTTTACCTGAAGGAAAAATAATTCCGTTTGGGCTGGTTAAATGTATAATCCAAGAGGGTTATAGTAAGGGTCAGCAGGTGAGAGGATCAGAACGCTGTCCTGGTAAAGTCTTTCAGACATGAGACCTCAGTGGCAGGTCCCTGTTCAGCAGGATTAGCTCTGGGCTGCAGTCATCCCTGCTGGCCCACAACCTCCTCATTCTTGCTGTGTCCACATCCACACAAGGAACTCAGACACAGAGCTGAAGCCCCCCAGCCCTTCCTGAACAAGTCACTTTGTTGGAAGGCTCAGGTGTCACACCAGCACACTACACTGGTTTGGAAATGGGGGAAGGAGGAGTTCTTCCCTTCTTACTGACCACTGACTTAAAGTGCAGGCATAAGTCCCTGAGGAAAGTTTGCCACCCAGGAGCTTCAGGGACTGGAGAACAGCTGGTTAGACCCCTCTGATCTGCTGTGGGACCCTGTCAGCCGTGCACACCCTGGATTCTAAGGGCTGTTAGCAAAGTAGCCCTAAATGAGCATGCTCATAACCTGACTGGAGAGTAAAGCAGAGCTTAACCTCAGCCTCAACATAAAATGTTAATATATCCTAAATTACACAGCCCTGTAATGTTTCCACAGTTGCCTTATCTTATTTACCAATATGCCAAGTCAACATTTGGTCAGTATTTTCCTACTTGGAAAACTCCAGTCACATAGTCTGGAATGAGGATGCTCAGCTAACATGTCACTTAAGTAAAGCGAGAAATGAAACTTAACATAAAGTTCTTACTGTGCCTTTTTTCCTCCGTGTTAAACCACAACTTAAACTTAACCTCTAAAGTAAGTGTCTTATTTTTTTGGTGAAAATACCTACTTAGGGTGCCTGTTAGTGTTAGGTCGTGCTAGGTCTTGCCTTTACTTAACTCTGTTTCTTCATGAATGTGATCTGATAATGATAATAGTATTGCCAAAGAAGTAACTGAAGGCTTTTGGTTGAGTACAACTGTGTATTTCTATGTCAGTTTTGTACCCTTTTTTTTTCCTCTCTCTTTTTTTGTAGTCTATGCATGGAACTTTGAAAAGTGTCGAGGGGCCACCAAACCTGGGGATAAATCTGCCTCTCAGTACTAAACCCACAATTCAAAACTCAGCCAGTCACAACAAGGAGGACACAAAATCTGTCAATGGAACAGAAAAGTTGGAGAAGAAATCGCCTTCTCCCATAAAGAAAGCAGAACCTAAAAAAGTCGCTAGTCCTGGCTGGACATGCTGGGAGTGTGACAGACTCTTCACTCAGAGAGACGTTTACATCTCCCACATGAGGAAAGAACATGGAAAGGTAAAGGAATATATTCAATTACAAAAAGGTGAATTAAACCTGAAAGGTGAAGTATTTGTTTCTAAATTCAGTTTGTGTCTTTGCAAGTAAGTCCTTTAAGTCCCAGCATTATTATTCAGTGTTCTTATATCTATTAAATCTTTTTTGCTTTGGCTGGCTGGTTCTTTTCAGTTTCTACATCATTCTACTGAGAAAATCAATTGTAGGCTTGTTCATTCAGCACCGAAATTTTTCAAGATGGAAAGAGTGAGAGATATTGCTGTATTTCATCCAAGCCATCTAATCCATTCCAGGTTCTTATTTCTTCTTTGTGCCTTCTCAGTTCCCTCTCTTTATGGTGGTGTGGTGAACGTGGCAGTGCTGGGGTAACGGTTGGACCCAGTCTTAAAGATCTTTTCCAGCTTAAGCAATTTGATTCTGTTCTGTTCTGAAGCTCAGTGCCTGTTAGCCTCAGGAAGTGGAGACTCAGTCATGTTTTACTGGTCCAGTGAGTGCCAACTGGTGTTTCATTTAAAGGCAGACACATTCTGCAGTTGAGCTGCCGCTCTAGTCTTACACTTGAAAGTTCAGCTGAGTTAACAAGTTGAATTTTGTATTTAAAGCAGCTGAATTTGAGATATCTTCCTTAAAACGGATTGAAAGTGAAATATGGGAATGTTGCATCCTCATGTCAGCAGAGAGACTGCTTGATGTTCTTCCTGTGTTCAATAACATTTCCAGTTAAATGAAATGAAAGACTGTGGCAGGCAGGAAGGCAGTGGTGACCCTGATTAGCTGTGGCAGGCTCCAGCCCCTTGCTGACATGTGGCAGCCACCTGCCAAGCCAGTCCTCACCTTTGCTGTGTGCTGGTGGCAATGCTCTGACCTTTCCCCAGCTGGGAGCCAGGGAGCTAAACTGATGGACTGTGCTGCACTGCAGCAGAAGAGCAGGACTGCGGCTGATTTTGTCTAAGTGGAGGAGAACCACCCTGAGTGAAAATCTGTAGTTTTCAGGATTCTAATGTGCTGTAACAAATGACTGCACATTTCCAGAGGTTTCTATTACAGTGATTCTCTCCAAAGCTGTTCTGCAAATGATTTTGTTCTGTTTATAAACGTTTTATGGAAAAGCTGAAAATGCTGGACTATTGAGTGTCATCTTCAATTTTCTTAGGACAACTTCAAGCAAATAGCACCCCAGCATCATTGCCTCCAGTAACTCCCACCTCATTCCTTCAGCTTCCTGCTGCCCAAATATTAACTCAGCAGAGCTTTTACTGGCAATCAGAAATGCATTTAAGACCGAATGCATTGTACATTTATGCAATTCTTAAAAACAAAGCAGCACAACCTCCCAATGAAACTGTCACTTCTGAGTGAACTAGAGAGCGATATTCAGTCTGATTCCATCCACACCAGAGTAGCCAAAGGCATGTAAAAGAAGGTTAGTAACATATCAATAATGCTTTCTAAATATTAGCTTTAAATCTGTGTCTTTCTCTCTTTGATGTTTATGTGCAATGTTACCTCAAGAACAGCCCTTAGTATGAAATATTAGATAATTGTTGCACTCAAATCCTGGCCTTGAAGGCCTCTTTCATTGCTTCCATTCAGGTGCTGGTTTTTATCCCCATTCAAGCAGTTCTTGGATAACACAGGAGGCACATAGATACTAAAATAAACAGAAATACAACTCCATATCTTTCAGAAATGGGGAATACAGACCAGGTGCTACATTCCATCCCAACCTGTCAACATTTTTAGTAATTGCTAGCTGTCAAAAAAACTGTTGAAAAGCTAAACTTTTACTATAGAGAGAATAGAAATGAGCATAAGATGACCAAGTATGTAATATGGATTTAATAAATAGAGGACCTAATTTACAGTATGATTTTCTTAAGAATGATAGGTGTGGGTTAAATGCTCTAAAATGATCCTTTCAGAATGATTGTTTAAAACTGTAGTTAAGCAATTCATGTGCTATTCACAAAATCCATCGTCATGCAAGCTATAGGAAAATACTAGTTTCAAACTTCTAATTTCTGCTTTTGCAGGATCAGAGTGAAAGATCTGTAATCCCTAGCTGATGCCAGATTATGGATTATGCAGAGGTATTCATAGGAGAGGTATTGACGTGTATATCCTCTTCAGACAGATCCTTAAGGTTCCAGCCTTTATTGGGAACTGTCTACACAGACAGATTCACATTTTCTGATCCTTTCCTGAGGATCCTGGATGAAGGGAGCCAGCTGTAGGGCAGGAAATTGTGTACCTACATTGCTGTGACTCTCTGCCTGATCTTAAAAGTGCTGGGAAAAAAAAAAAAGTTATCAGCCCAGACAAGGGAGGGTTCCAACAAGCCTGTACAACTCCTGTCTGAAACTGGATCGTGTGTGTCTGCCTTCCACCAGGCAGGCATACACTGAGCTCCTCGGACTTGTGTGCAGGTGTGTTTCTGTGAAAGGACAGATGTTTTCTAAGTAGAATTACCAGCTCCAACTTGTTCATTGATCATCCTCTTCTTGTCAAGACAAGATGCTGTACAGCACATCATGCTGAATTACAGAACTAATTTTTCAGTTCTTTTTGATTTGGTTGCCATTGCAATTTGAAACTAATGCATCCAAAATCCTGTTTGGGGTGTCTATCTCGAGTTTCCCCAGGGAATTTAGAACAAGTGTGGCGTCACAGGTGGCTACCTCACATAGTGCCCCCAGGTCCTGCTGAGCATCATCCTCCTCCTGCTTTCCTGACCATGGGCTTGATGCCTCTGCTCACTGCCACACAGCTACGATGTGTGACTGCTCCAGCCCTTCTCAGTTTCTTCCTTTACTTTTTCCTTCCACTTGACGAGCTGCAACATCAGCCCCACCAAATTCCCCAAACACATGGCCATCAAGTTGACAGCAGATCACACCGCTCATTTTGTTACGACTTTTCTGAACCCTGTTAGTGTGCCGGTCTCCACGCAGTTCAAGTTTGGTCCTTCTGTGCTCTTCACCGCTCCCTGTATGTGGCTGAGGAGCTCCTGGTCAGTAGCTGAGGACGTGGTTTGGTGATGGGGAGGGAAAGCTACACCCTCATCCTGCTGCCTTTATAGTCTATACAGAAATAGTCCTCTCATCTTCCCTGTTTCTTTGGTGGAAGAAATTCTCTGCACCCACCATCCGAAACACCAGTTTACAGCTGGGGACAGCTGTGTGTGTGTGCGTGTGTGTGTGTGTGTGTGTGTGTGAGTGGCTCATGGGGGCCACGCTGCTTTGAAAGAGGTTCAGTTCCGACTTGTACAGCATTGTTAAAGGGGGCGTGGGGGGGTGTATGTGAAGTACAGTACCAAAAACGGGTAAGTTGAGTTTCTTTCTTATTTATCAAAAAGGTTCAACACATGCACCACTTCTACTGAGCTTTTTTAATGAAAGTCTTTCTCTTCTCTTTTTTAAGCAAATGAAGAAACATCCTTGTCGGCAATGTGACAAATCGTTCAGTTCATCCCATAGTTTATGTCGGCACAATCGTATCAAGCACAAAGGCATTAGGAAGGTTTATACGTGCTCGTAAGTTTTATTTTTATTTATTTAGAAATGGAATACAAACACCATTGTTAGTTGAACATCTTTCCTTAACTGTGTAAGAGCCAGTGTCCCATTCATTTAGATGCTCAGGACAGGCCAAATCAATTACCTGTCCTGCCTGCAGAAACGTGTCAGGCTTCTGAGAGAGCAATCTGAAACTTGGCTGAGCTGAGCAGTTCCACTTTGGGCAACCTGGTTTTCAGGAGTCTCTCAAATACACAACCACTCTTCCAGTCTACAAAAGGCACCTGTTAAGCATGACACTTGAATGTTTGTGTATGTGTGTGGGTGTGTCTGCAGGCACTGCCCAGATTCAAGACGTACTTTTACCAAGAGGCTGATGTTGGAAAAACATATTCAGTTGATGCACGGCATTAAAGACCCTGATGTGAAAGAAATGGCTGAATCTACCAATATGGAAGAAAGGGAAGTAAAAGAAGACACAAAGGTAATCACTTAGAAGACTCATTCAATTACTGAGAATTATTTGTTTGGTGGGTATATACTCAGGATCTTTATATAAATACAGATACTTTGATGCAATAAATGTCTCATCTTCTGTGAAGTAGAGTTCCAAAAAGATTGTTATTTATCAGAGTTGTTCTAGAATCTGCCAAGGGAAAGATTCTGACATTTGCAAGTCACAAATAATTATGAAAAGAACTGCATGTTGATGCTTACATGTGTCTGATAGAGCATTTCTGTCTTTTTGTTAGGTTCCTAGTCCAAAGCGTAAATTGGAAGAACCTGTAATGGAGATTAGACCTCCACGAGGTGCAATCACTCAGCCATTAAAGAAGCTGAAGATAAATGTTTTTAAAGTTCACAAGTGTGCAGTTTGTGGCTTTACAACAGAAAATCTTCTCCAGTTTCATGAACATATTCCCCAGCATAAATCTGATGGCTCTTCATACCAGTGCAGGGAATGTGGACTCTGCTACACATCTCATGTGTCCCTTTCCAGACACCTCTTCATTGTACATAAGCTGAAGGAGCCTCAGCCAGTATCAAAACAGAATGGGTCTGGGGAGGATAATCAGCAAGAAAACAAACCCAATCATGAGGATGACTTGTCCGACAGTGTGGCATCGGACAGAAGATGCAAAGTGTGCGCAAAGACTTTCGAAACTGAAGCGGCCTTAAACACTCACATGAGAACACATGGCATGGCTTTCATCAAGTCCAAAAGAATGAGTTCAGCTGACAAGTGATCAGATTGTTTGGGATGCAGAAATCTCACTCCACATTGGAATACTAATGACATTTTTGCTACAGAAAGTTCAAGGTATAATAGTGTTAACAGTACTGTTCAGGCTGTTGCAATATATTCTGCATAAAAGTATCCCCTTCACCTCATTGTCTATACCCTCAGAACCATTGAAGCAGTATTTGAGTTGAAAAGAGTTTGTATATATTTAAACTAATAATTTTTATACTCTTTTGTTATGTGTTTGTATCAGTATCTAGTGGAAAAATTGGGGTTTTTTTTCTGTTTTGGTTCTGTTCCTTTGTAGTAAGTTTCTTTAAAACAGAGTTCTGAATGCTGGGGCAGTTTCTTAGGTTCTCTTAAACAGTTTGGTTTTTGAATGCTTCTCAAAGAAACTTTAGCTAATGGAAGAGCATCAGGAGGAGGTGCTAGGAGGGGAGAGGAGGGAGGAGGCAAGCTAAGGGGGGATTATAAATTCTAAAGAACTTGGGCTTCCATATGTCTAAGGAAGCTTTTAAACTTTTTCTTACAAAATATATTATAAAATAAAAATTAAAGTACCACTGCATGTGTAAAATTAAGTGCTGTTTTTTTGGTGGCAATAGCAAAACTGGTGCAGACCCCCTGGAGTGGGAAAGTACTTGACGAGTATAAATGCACAACTCTGAGTATCATGAAGTGATTTTTTAGGTCATCAGGTGCTTGTGATCAAAGCTCAAATTGTTACAAAAGGGCTGGGCTGCTCTAGATTTAAGAAATAAGATGTAATTAGAGGAATAGGTTTATAATGATGATGATTTTTGTCATGTAATTTATTAAACATATAGAAGTGAGTACACAGCATTATGTATTTTCCTTCCTGGTTATTGAAAGGAAATAGTTGACCCTTGCTACAGGGGTTGGGATTTGCCAGCTCCACATGATCATGCCAAACGTTCTGGTGCTCAGTGTCACACACAGCCACAACTGGGAAGGAGCCAGCCCCAGCCAGGACTGGGACTGGGGCTTGCAGCTTTAGCCTAGGCCGTGCAGAGCTCGGCCAGACATTGCAAACTCCTGTCCAGCACCACTAGTTTTGCTTGCACAAGTACAAAAAGGTACCATACTGTCCCTTTCAAATAGAGTTCTCTGTGAGAGTATATTTTTAGTTTGTTTTTGCATTTTATACCTTGTATGTAACCCTACAAAAATTTTTGTACTTTTTTTTAAAACAAATTGTGTATATATAGATAGCTGCATGATAAACAGTAGTAATTGTTGGGTTCCTTATAAGTCTTGCTGCTGTCAGGTGTTACTATACACTATGTCCATTACGACTGTATTAAACACATTTCATATGTAAATAAATGTGGAGCATTTTGCCCCAAAAGATTTGTGAGATTCTGTTATTTATCATTAAATTTTAATAGTTTTAAAATTTGAAGTGTTTAAAAAAATATGGATCCTCTCAGCCACCTCTGTAAAACTTAATCGTTCTGGCAATTGTGTATCAGATACATTAGTTCTGCTCTTTTCATCCTCATTCCTAATCTGGCCCCTGGGTAGATGCTTGTTAGCCCATTTATATTACTGGCATATCAAGTGCTTGTGAGGTACTTCATCCTCCAGTGTGCAGCGGGCACAGCACCTCCGTGTGTGCCACCACTGCCCTTCCCATTTAGTGGATACCTCTGAACACTTGTTTGTTGATGTGCACTGTCAACTGTACAACAAATGAGTTATCACTATGCAGAATGGTGTTTTGTATACAGTGAACAGATAATAAAAGTTCCGTTTTCACAGCCATTACTAATACTTTTCTTTATTTTCCCTTTTCACTGTCTTACACCTGCAAGTAACCTGAGGATTGCAAATGGCATCATGGTGCCAGGGTGTCACGCTGCCACTCATATCCCCAGAGGAGCTCCTGCACAGCCAGGGAGGGCAGCCCAGCTGCTTGGCAGTGGGCTCTCTTAGTTCTAACTGGCAGATCAGTTGAACTCTCCTGCCAGTAATCTCTTGAAAGGTTTAAGGGATAGAGGGTTTTGAACTGCCCCATAAGCTCCAGCTACATTTCTATGTCAGAATTGACATGCCTCCTTAACAGAAGGACCACATCTTGAAAAGCAGGAGGTGAACAGAAGGTTTTAAAGCAACGTGAGATAAGGTGAAAAGGCACAAATATCAGTAGGCATGCCCAAAGGAGTTATTTCCTCTTGTAAACTATAGAAAAAATGTTTAAACTTACTTTTATCCAAGATCTGACATTTGAGTTGTTTGCTTTTAATTAACACTGTACACTACCAGTCAGTGATGACATAATTACTCCTCTTTTTTACCCCTTTCCTTTGAGGATTGAGTAATGGATTAAACCTCATAAAAGCTCTCTGAGGGTTAGAAGAGAGATCATGTAGACTCCACCATTTTGCAGCCACTCTTGTGGTTGCAAACAAAGGTGCTTAACAGTGCAACCTCAAATTGCAACAGAAACTAAGGCTATATATCTCCTCCTGTTGTGTTGCCTTCCCATTCCATTCCTTCTACTCTTCAGGGAGGCAGAGAGTGTCCTGAGAGACCTCTGCCCAAATATCCAGCTGCACACAAACTGCTTAACCAGGACTGCACCAAGGCTCAGGTCCCACTTCCAAACAATGCCTCAATAAAACTGTTTTTTTCACCTGCTAATATTGATTAATACCTCACCTCGGGGCATGTGGACAGTGCCTGGCTCCCAATCACCTGGCTTGGGCTGTGTGGACGTGGAGTCTTTGTGAAATAGCACCAAAATAAGTCACTGAGGCTTAGTAAGTGGGGCGGAGGGGGGAACCCACAAACCATGGGGACATGCACTCACCAGTGGGGAAGTAACAGAAAATGACAGCAGGAGAGTTCACAACAGTGAGGCAGCACGGACCTGGCCCTCCTCACTGTGCCCAGGGCCATACCAAGGCGCTTTCCAAAATGTGCAATTTGCCAAAATAAAGATGCCCTTGAGAAAGGCTGAGAGACCGGACAGAAGGAAAAATAAGGGGAAGTGGGACACTGTGTCAGCCAGAGCCACCTCACTCTGTGCAATCAACCTCACAGGAAGCAAAATGCTCTGCCACAAGAGCAGTGGGCTAAGGGGAAAGGCAAGCACAATTCCAAATCCTTCCCAGGACAAGACCCGAGGCAACAGCCTGAAGTTGCACCAGGGGAGATTTAGGCTGGATATTGGAGAAAGGTTCTTGACCCAGAGGGTAGAAGGATCCCTTGAGAAGCAGTCACAGCACCAAGCCTGATAGAATTCACAAAGTGTTGGTATACTCTGGAACACATGATTTGACTCTTGGGGATGGTCCTGTGCAGAGCCCCTTGCTCTTGGAGATGGAGCTGTGAGGATCCTTGTGAGTCCCTTCCAGCTCAGCAGATTCTGTGATTGTGTCCTGTGTGCTCCCTCACACAGGGTGTGTTCCCAGCCTGCCACCTACTGCCTCACTCTAACATGCCCCAATCCTTCACGTCGTGCCATACACACTGGGGCTATGCTGTCCCTCTAAGCCCAGCCAGAAATAAGCCTAATTAAGTCAATGCATTTGTGTTGTCCGGTGCATGATGCCTTTAATGAACTACCACGTGCATCTGCATCCCTTGTTTCTGGGCACAGCACAGGTGTGCTGTGCCCACTCTTCATGGTGGCCCCAGATACCTCCCTCAGGAGCTGTTGAGCCTTGGCCTGCTTGCCTGTAGGTACAGCGAGAGTTAAACCTGGCTGGCCACAATCCCGGTACTTCTCTACACTTGTCTGGTGTTTGTACTCCTGGAGGACATTTGCAGATGCACAACTTGACCTGCCAAAGGCCCAAATGTTCTCAGTTCTTAACCTCTGTCTACCTGTGGGGAATTCAGTTTGGCAAGCCTATTTACTTTAAAAGGATTTTTATAAAACTCCGACCTTTTCAGTCTGTTAATATTACCTTTCTCAGTACACTTAGCATACACACACCACCGCCAGGCCAATAACAGCACACAGAAAAACCTATTTTAGCTTAAAACCTTTCTCAAATATTAGGCCAGTTCAGCAGTCAATTCTTCGTATTTGAATTTCAGATTATTACTCAAAGGTTATCTGCCTAGGCTCCATGAAGGGTAACTAGGAACAGCAGGGAATGGATTGACCAGAGAAATAACTACAGAACTGGTCAACCACGGAAGGCACAAGCGTTCCTGACCTACATCCCTGGGCTCTGTGTACAAAGTAGATTCTGCAGCCAGAAGTGATGTGGATGCAGGAGCACAAAAGAAGGAGCCACTTCTCATCTCATCCCTGGGCACTTCCTCACTTTGAAAAAAAAAAAAAATTATTTGCTCCTCAATAGTGACCATATAAAACCTGGTTTTGATGTTGTTTCTTTCATAGTTGGGTCAAAAAGAGCTTTCCTCGCTGGGGACCATTTGAGGGCATTGCAGTGAGGCACTGCACTGGGAATGACCCAGATTCACCTGGAAAATTAACTGAAGGCACTACAGCTCTCTTCTCTGAGCCCTGGGATTCTATTTTGAAGGAAGAAATGTATTTGAAACAGTAATGTGACTATTAGCCAAATAAGCTGAGCATGGCTATCTTCTCAGATACGTCCCCTTATATGATTTGGTGGAAGACTTTATGCAGTTCATTTATTTTCTGTTCTCAAATTGTGCTATTTTGAATTCAATAGCTCTAATGTGATGGTGGGGATATGGATGCAGTGCATTATCAGCATTGCTCTCCACAGGGTCGTTCCAGTACTTGGCTGACAATGCCATACCTCTGCAGGCCAGACCAATATTACAGGTCAAGCACAACAATATTTCCTGATTTAGTGATTGTTTCTGATTTTTTTTTCCTCTCTTCCATGGGAGAAAGGAAAGGAAAAGAGAACATTATTCGCTAAATTCAATTGAATGTTGGATCCCTCCTTCCCCTTACCCTTCTTCCCGAGAAAGAAATTATTTTCACAAATAAACTATTCCCTGAAACAAATTCACTCAGTTGAAATCCAATTAGCTCTGCAGACACCGGGTCACAGAGCAGATTCAAAATGTTGACTCATACATGTAGAAAGTGACACTGGGGTTGCAAACTGTGCCTGTAAATGAATGTGTTCCTGCCAGCTCCCAAGGCACACGACCGGACTGAGGAGAAAAGTAACACAAGACAAAAGCCACCCATGCTCCCCAGCAGCAGCCTCCAAAGCGGGGGTGTGCATCCATGGGCGTGCAGGAAGCAAATAATCTTTCTACTGTTACAAAACTGCAATGAAATACAAGTATTCAAACTATGCACAAGAGGGGTGAGCAATCCCCTAGAAAACAAAGAAGTGTCGTTCAGTATTATATATACAGGTAGCACTAACGCCTGGCTGTGTGCAAAGGTCTGGCAAATATGCCAGAATGTCAAGAGCTACATTTTCTTTGTACTAAAAAACGAGCATAATTTTCTAGCTGCAGAGCTCCAGAAGATCTAGTGTACAAATATTGAAGTCAAACATCCAGTGCAGGGGAAGATTTCAAAATACTTGTAACCTTTAATAATCGCAATCACGCAGATGGTAAAATAACAGAGCCACCAACAGAGGTGTGGGTGATTCCCAGCATCTCTGGAAAAGGAAGAAAAGCTGCTTCCAAATATGTTTCTCTTGCCTCACCACAAACAGTGGAGGAGTCCGAGTGTGTTCTGAGCTGTCAAACACCAAGCACAATCGAACCAACAGGCAAAGGAACTGCAATCTCAGAAATAAGTGTAGGTTCATGCCTCAGACAAAATAAAATCCCATCCATGTGAACAAAAAAATAAACAGCTTCAATCCTCCCAGGTCTCAACACAAAGCTGCCTTCTTGCTTTTCCAAATTCGCCATACACAAACTCTGCTTGCTACAGAATTAGACTTTACCACCTCGATTTCCACTTTTAATTCTCTCCAGGTAATAGAAAAGTGACCAGGTAATAGAAAAGTGTCAAATATTTACCGTTAAATGCAAACATAATTAAACACTAAGTAAGGATTAAATCTATTCTTCTTTAGGAGGAATCTGGGTGGTGATACACAGTGTTTTGGAGCAAAAGCTCTTTCCTTGTGGTTTTTTCATATTGATGCAGATGATACTCAGCATTAATATAATGATAGAGATTTTCTTCTAATAGCAAAGCAAATTTAACAAATATGTTTTTGACAAATTGTTTTTAATTGCCTATGAGTTAGTGGTCTGAACCCTAGTGTAAATTACTGCTGTGTTCTATGAAGTTTTTAGAGACTTTGTTAGTCTCCCTTATGTTGATTGTACAGCCTGATAATTTTGCCCAATCACCATTTAAAATCTCTCTTTTCTCAGGGTTTTTTATAAAATAAGGGCAAGCAGATTTGTACACAA